TCTCTATAGCCCTGTTACTGAAACTGACGAACAGTGTGAGAACCAGTGCAGATAGCGAAGGAACCTGACTTGGTGCTCCCTCTCTAATGGTGGGTGCATTTCCATCCTGTATAGATTCCCATCCTGTATTAATAGTATACAGTTATTAGATGAAGCTAGTTCACAGGGCTTTTGTTTTGGGGGCTGTTTTTGTTTAGTTAGGTGCCCCCCTCCATTCCACCCAAGCTTGCCCATAAGAATGTGTCAACAAGCCTGCAAGTATCTGGATGTTTAACATCTTTATTACTTTTATTTTTATTCTTCTTTATCTCCTTTTCGCTTGTGGGGGGTGGGTTTTTTTTTGGGTTTGCTTGGTTTTTGTTTTCCGTGTGGTTTTTTTTGTTTGTTTTTGTTTTTTTCATGTGCCTGTTACCTTTTTATAGAAAGAAATTAAATGTTTTTCTGGTGACTACTTCTTGCCAAATCTGTACTGGCTGTTTTGTGTTACCCAGAAGTTTCTAACTAGCTTGATTACTTGTCTCAATATTTTTTCAGGAAAATAGACTTCCCTGTAACTGCCTGACCCTTATTTTCCCCTCCTGTTTTTTGAAGTTAGGCGTACCATTTTCCCTTTTCTTTTTGTCCAATACTTCACCAATGTCATGAGTTATAAATGATAATTTATTTTGACTTTGCCTCAGTCAAATCTCTAATGAACTAAATCCACCCTAATTGGTTTGAAAATATTTATCTTCTCTAAATCTAGCTTCTCTAGATTGTTCTTTCTATACTTTATAGAGATTCAATTATGCCCTCATTTATTGGTATTAACTGTACTAGCAACCTCCTTGACATTATGTCACTAGTACAGACTGAAGCAGAAAAGAGATTAAACTTTTTGGCTGTCCCTGTTTTCCTCTTTCTTGCTTTTTTGCTTCATACGGTTAACAGATCAGTATCAGCAGCTTGTTTATATGTGTCCCTCTAATTACTAATACACTTTCAGAATTATTTCAGCTCAACTCTTATTACCAGCTCTTGCTAGTGGGGTCTACATGCTCTTGAGTTTTAGACTTTGTGTGTCAAAATGCATGAAGATAAACTTGCAATGTACTTGTACACTGCACTGAATACCTCTATTGACAATAACTTACTCTAGTTTCAAAGAATAGGCAACTTTGCACATACTGTATGCTAAAAATGTGAATGTCTAAAATAATGCAGTGCCATCTCCTTTAGCTTGCATACCCTTGAAAATGTGATGAAATTGGCTCCAACTACCCATTTTAAAAGAAAACTAAACAAAAAATAACTATATTCAAAAATTAATTCTTAAAATGAGTAGAAACCAACTTGCAACATTTTAGGACATTGCTGTCACACATATTAATTGTTCTTAAGCAGAGCATAAACTACACCTCCAAAACTTCACAAATTGCCAACCACCACAACAATTCTGATGCGTATTCTAGTGAGGCCAGATAAAAAGGGGGGGAGCAGGCTGTAGTAAGGACAAAGAAGAGCAGAGCTCCAGGGCAAAGTAGTTAATTACAGAATGGTTTGGGTTGGAAGGGACCTTAAAGCTCATCCAGTTCCCACCCCTGCCATGGGCTGGGACACCTTCCACTAGACCAGGTTGCTCCAAGCCCTGTCCAACCTGTCCTTGAACATGGCCAGGGATGGGGCAGCCACAGCTTGTCTGGTTAACCTGTGCCAGCAGCTCAGCACCCTCACAGGGAAGAACTTCTTCCTACTACCTAACCTAAATCTCCCCATGGTCAGTTTAAAGCCATTCCCCCTTGTCCTGTCACTACATGCCCTTGTAAAAAGTCCCTCTCCCTAGTTTTTGTCGGCCCCCTTTAGGTATTGGAAGACTATTATAAGGTCTCCCCTGAGCCTTCTCTTCTCCAGCCTGAACAAACCCAGCTCTGTCCTCAGAGGAATGGTGCTCCAGCCCTCTGACCATCTTCATGGTACTGAGGACCTGCATTGGTATTGAGGATATGAAATTCACACTATAATTATTTCTGGGGTTTTACTTCATACTAGTTTTAGTCTGGTGCCATGGACTTCATGCCCATGAGTAAGTGAACTATACAGAGTACTGGCACAGAGGATGTCTTTTACTGGAATCTCATGTGAGGGAAGTATAGTCCTTGAGGTTCAGAACTGGTCTTCTGGCTGAGCAGAGGATGTATGGGCAATCGGGAGGCTTGCTTCAGAAGTGAAATTCTGATGCAAACTGAAATGCTGATGTTCCCATGGAATGTTGTGTCTGAAGACGTGTTATTTTGCTGGAATCATCCTGTACTTTGAAAATCAGTTGAATTAGATTGTTACAATATTTTCTGGTTGATTGAGCCTTTGTTAGATGTTTCTCCATTTCTCAAAGAGCTCTTTAATCTGTCCTTGTTAATGATCAATTTGCTCTCAAAGAATTCAAGCAGAATTTTTCTATATTGTGATGGTACTGTATAAAGCAATCTCATTACAGAGCCCAGGCAGCAGCATAAAAAAATAGAAAAGGAAGGTTTTACCTACTGTGGTATACTTAAAGAAGTGGAAGGACAAAAATCTTTTATAAGAATTTATATTTTTATAAAATAAAACTTTTAAAGAAATGCAAATGGAGAATATGGGTTGAAATTCTCTTCTGGAGAAACATGGCATCAAGTTGTGTATGTAAGAACATAGCCCAGACAAAACTGTCCTTCAAGTTCTGAGAAATTCCAAAGATTTAGTGTTCATTTTCACCAGAGATGGATTTGAGTCTGTCATAAATTCAAATAACCTTTAATTTGATGTAAACTTAACAGAGATTCAAACTTGGATAGAAATCCTGGAGCACTTCATGTGGGTTTGGCACTCTAGAACAGGGAAGACATTGACAAAGACCAAGGAGTCCTGTAGAGGGTTATCAGGGTGACTGGGGTTGCATCATATGATGTATGATTAGAAACTCAGAGTGCTGCACTTGTTCAGACCAGAGAAGACAAGGACCAGGGAGGATGTTACTGTGATCTACAGCTGCCTAATTGCAGCGTCCTGATGGAGATGAACTTGTCTCAGAGGCATAGGTCAAGAGGCAACAGATTGGAATATGGGAAATTCCACTTGATGTAAGGAAAAACTTTCACTGTAGGAGTGGTAAATTATTGGAATGAGGCTTAGAGAGGATGTCTGTTCCTGTAGATGTTCAAGACTTCACTGAACACAGCCTTTGGCAACCTTCTTTAGCCACATTTCCTTTGTGTGTTGTTCTGGACTAGAGACCTCTGGAGGTCCCTTTCAACTTTCTGTGGTTCTGGGCATCACAATCCAAACACAATTCATTCAGTTTTATTGCACCTTTGCGTTTGTAAGTTAGAGTACATTGAAATGGTCAGCGTATCTGAAAAGACCTTTGGAATGAAATATTCAGGAAGGTTTCTTGGTCAAAAAGCTGAAGAATTTCAGGTAGACAGGCAGGCTTGTAGGTACTTCTAAAGCCAGACAAAACTCAACTACTAGGCCGCTCCAGTCTGTCCCTGTGATTCTGAACTTACCTTTTAAATTGGCCTGCAGCTTATTGAATGAAGGGCAAACAGACTTCTAAGCCAAGAAATATAAAATGACATAGACTGTGCTCATAACCATATTAGTAAATGCATATACTGCATGATGATGAGCCCCAGAAGGAGCTACATATTGAAAACTGAATTGTCTAACATTTGTATATTCACCTCATCCTTTTATATACTTGATTAATATCTACACAGTTACTCTTGTGGATGTACCTAATTTTTATTCTTTTTTAGTAAAATTTTGTAAAATATGGCAATTAGCATTTATAATTTCTGCAAGGTTTATATACTTTTGTGTATAAATTTTCTAATCTATTGTAGATGCGTAAGGTTTTTTTCAAAAACTTAAATAAACATTTAATTAAATAAAGATTTTATCTTCAAAATGGAGTCTACAAATATCTAATCCCAAAGCTACAGTTTCTCAACCTTCCTCCTCTTCTGTGAGATGTTGCTATGGTTATTACCCTGCTGGGTAGTGAAATGCAATAATTTGTTTAGCAATTCCTCTCTTCCACAATACTGTACATATATATAGGAGGCTTGCATTTGTGAAGTGCATCAGTGTGACAAGTGTGCTGTTTTTTTACAAATCCTTCTAATACAAGTCATGGTTTGTAAAACACATGTATTTTTGGGTTAGTAACTGAAGTTCTTATCCAGCAAAACCAAATTTGTCTGGTAGCTAAAATAAGTTTCTGGAGAGCTGTTCCAAGCACTTCCTTCCTTTTCCCCTCTCTGCAGAAAATTTTGCTAGAAGGGGCAGTCGATATATTATATAATGTAGTTTTGAATTTTTAGGGCATTTTTATTAGTTAGATAGCAAAATAAACAAACTTGAAAAAAGGTTGAGTTGTTATTGAGGTTTAATTAAGAGTAGGAGTATTGCACTGAGATCTGTTTAAGAAAAATAGAAAAAGAATATTCTTGTTGCATCTGTTATGTTTCTGTGTGATCTGACTTGCTTCAAATCTTAAAGCATGACTGTAGTAGAAGCATCTTCAAAATGGCACAATATTTATAAGCTGCTTAGTTTAAAGGCTTCTTGAAACAGTTTGGCTGCACTGAACATAAAGAATTTTAAAATGTAGAGGAAGGTTTTGTCATGGCAAACAGGATAAAAAGTTTGGGGTTTACTTAATAGATGTGGGGTTTAAAAGGATTCAGCTGCAGAGGAGCTGAGTATGATCATTGTGTTAAGTAAAGAAGATGCTGCATTGCAGAGGTGGATTTCAAGGCTTAAAAGGGCAAAGAGAAAGATACTGGTATTTAATAAAAAGATGCGAGGAAATAGGCTGCAATAAGAGTGAGTTTTATTTAGACAGAAACCCCAGCAGACTGGTATTTTGGAAGTATAGCAGAAATCAGTAATGTTTTTTTTTTAAATTATTATTTTTTCCCTGTCTTCAGAAATTCACAGGAGACCAGGCTTTATGTCACCTTACCAGCAGTGTGCACAGAACATGTCACCATTTTTCAAGGCAGGGAATGCGTTTGCATGTGATAAAAAGTTATAGGCTAATTAGGCTTTTTCCCGGGAGTTTCCCACCTCCACATGGCAGCTAGTTGGAAGGTGTTAGGTGTTGCTTTTGTGATTCCTTCCAGTACATTAGAGGTTGAACAAGACATCATGCTCTTGTCCACGGATGAATCTTCACCTTCAATATTTTGTTACTGTTGGTGTTTGTTCTTGTGTTACAGAAATTCTGTATACTCTTGCCCAACCTCTGGCTATAGGACCAAGCAGTTCTTTCAGCATGCTGTTTTAATTTTTTAACAACTTAAAGTTGGAGTATACCTACTAAATGTCTACTGTACCACTTTATGAAGTCATGATGTGGTTATTTTGCTGTGGATTCTCCTTAGTTTCATTCAGTCTTGTCATAATGTTGCAAGCTGTGTAAATTCTACCTCTTCCTTTGGGAGGCCATTTGTTCTGTAGTCTGATTAATCCCACAGTCAGGTCAGTTCTTCATATTATTCAAAGCAAGTATTCTTAATTAACCCCCCACCACTTCTTGCTTTGCATGATCAGCAGAACATATTAGAATTGATTGTCTATGGTCAGTCTTGTTGCTTTTTGCATATTGTAACAGATACTAATTCAAATGATGTCGAGTGTACTCTGATAGACTTTCTTCTCCTATATCCTGTTGCTCCTCGCAGTTCACTGATGCTTGTAGGATGGAAAAACTCTGGAGTCCATTTTCTGTAAGGAAAAAGGGATGAATGGCTGAAAAATAATAATAAAGTAAGGCATTAACCTCTACATGCAGTTTTCGAAAGACTATGGCTGGTTCTACCAGGAAGTGGTCAGCTAGTTAACTGGACTTAGAGCTTTAGCTAGTTCCATGTGATTTGGGGGAAGAACTAAGGCAAACTGACTGAGATGTTGTCCATGTCCTGACCTGTCCCCTCTGCCCACACTGAAGTGTAGAGTAGTAACAAACAATCCCTGTACAGTGAATGAAGTAAGGGTCATGGAAAGGTGAATGAAAACAAAAATAATTTATGAAAAAGACATTTATGAAAACATAAATAGAATTTAATCCTGCACTTCCCCTTTGCATGTTTTAGTACTTTCTTTCAGCTACTTGTGCATTGCTAGGATTTCAGCAAACTCTTCTGTTCATTTTTATAGGATGAAATAAGTGTTTTACTGTATATGTCTGGAATTTTCTTCAGTCTTGAAAATAAAGTACATCTGTCAAATGCACCTGTCTTTCTGTACTGAACTGTCAGAAATTGAGACATAGCTCCCACAAGTATAGAGAAGCTGTTCCTAGCACCTTGACTTACTTTTCCTTTCTAAACTGCCCAGGATTCTCCTATTTTATTTGCCTCACAGTCATATAGTACTTTGCAGTAGAGTGACTTCTCACTGAGCATTCTGGACTGTTACCTTCACTGAGGTGTTTCTGTATTATCTCTTCATCTGCACTGGCATAAGCCTGTGGGAGTTCTCCCCAGGTTTCTGCATACTTAGTCTAATGTGCACAATATTACAGAAAGTGAAGCTTTGTGTCAGTTTGGTCAGTATGAACGGGTTTTGAAATTCCATTAGTTTCCATTATTTGATTTTTCTAAGTCTTTCATTGCCATCTTCTGTGTCTTCTCGATTTTCCCCCTCATTTTTCCTCAACTAAACAAGATCAGTATAGCTTAAACATGGGTATGTGTTCTTAAAGTTAAGGAGTTTCAGGGAATAAGCTTAAGTGAATGGCAGAGTTAGAATATGACTTCCTACCTTTGCATTTTATGCAAAGTAGAAAAAGTACTAAAGATTCTTTCTTCCAAAATATTAATAGCAATGGTCATATGGAGAGGAAAGAAAATGTTGACTACAGTCAACCAGTTATAATTATGTGGATGCTATATCTTACATGTTGATGTTGAAATTATAATCATGTTGATGATTACAATCAATAGAGTATAATTGTGTTGATGTTATGTGATGTTTTATGTTGATGTTGAAACTGTAATTGTGTTGATGATTAAAATCAACGAATTATAATTATGCTGTAAGTTGGATCAGATTTCTCATGGCTTTGCACACTCAAGTTTGATATATCCGCAATGGTAGAGATTCTCCTTTTCCACTCACTTCAGTTTGGCTCTGTCATTTCTACACCTCCCAGTAGGCAGTTCTAGAAAGCAGTAGATCTCCTTCCTGCTCCCGTCCTCTAAGCCTTGTCTGTCTGCTTCAGGTTGAAAAAAACAACTCTCAGTCTCTCCTATGTAATACGCAGTATCCACTGCCTACATTGGTAGCTCTCCACCTGACTTAGTCTGGTTTGTTTGCCTTTTGTACCTAAAGCCTCAGATGTCTCCTGTCTCATTGCTTGGACTTGTGTATGTCCAGTTTGCTCAGTGTGAGTCAGTCTTCCTCCACTATGAGTAGTACTTCATTTCGTGTCCCCCAGGAGGTCTGTGAGTAGACCTTGCCTGTTAAGATTAATCCTCATTGAGTCCTTCCTATATCCCCTACCACAGCATCCTTCACCTCACTGAGCAGTGGGCCTGTATTTTCCTCAGTTTTCCTTTTGCTCTTACTGGACCCATAGAAACTCTACTGTCCTTCATCCCTCACCAGTCATGTTTCTCCATGATTTGTGTATGTTGAGTGGCTTGGACATCAGTGCAGCATAACGGGGAGTAATAGCACAATATGGTTTGCTCCATGTGTGGTGTAGTTAGACCACATTCCTAAAGGTTGCATGGCAGTCAACATAGGCAATGAGCAGCTCCTGCTGGGTGGTGCAGAAGAACTAACATATGCATTAATGAAGGGGATCATATCAGATAATGCAGTAATGTAAGATGTATGATCAGAATCCAGAAAACTCTGTTATGTTTTCTCTAAAATGAGTTTCACCCTTAGCAGACTGCTTTGGGGGTTGAGTGTGTGCAGATAAAATACAGGTTTACAGCGTAAACCCTGGATACTGAGACAGAGGAAGTCCTTCGAACTGTCACTCAACAAGTAAAACATTAAAAGCTTTTTTCATCTATTCTTTTGACAACTGTGTCTTAATGGCCCGGAAAAGATGTATCCAAGCAAAAATGTAGTAGGACTTTAGAATCGTAACGGAATTCAGTCACTTCTTGCCTCCAGTTATTTGACATCCACGCATACTGGCTCAATGCATTACACTGAGAATATGTGCACGACTTCATTAGTGGTTTCATGTTAAAATCACTAAGCAAAGGATGGAGATTTAATTTTTCAGTCTTTATGTGGAGAAGGAAATTTATTAAGTATTTTGGGAATATAATTACTTTGTTAGCTATATTTACATCAGTATATATCATTTTATAAGAAACTATTAAACTCAGCAGTAAGAAGTGAGTATATATATAGTTATGCTTGTTAAGTAGGGCTGTGAACCGACTTCATCATCAAAGTATAGGTACACAGTTTCAATGTTCTCATTTTTCTTAAGGAACAAATCCAGTTATTCCCCAGTAACCGTGAAAAGCAAGGTTAAAATTCTTTTCTCCATGTAGAGTTAAAGGTTGGATCCTTTAGCCTCAATTAAAATGATAATGGTAATGGAAGAATGGTATCTTATGTATTTGTAAAGTTAAATTTTAATCTGAGGGGTTTTTCTCTTCCTAAAATATACTTTTGAAAAAAATGATATCATGAAGATTAAACAAACTTTGGTTATGGCAAACCTTTGTCCTTATCTTACTGTACAAACAAGAAATTTTACTTGAATCTTCTTTTATTAGACCAGAATGAAAGTAAAAATTGTTGAACAGAGGCTTCACATAGTATTTCTGACTTTGCAGCATTCCTATAAATCAAGTCAGAAGACCTGTTCTGGGTTCTTTTTTGTTTTTTTTTTTACTATCTTTGTGCATTAGAGGAACAGGAATTCCAAGGAATTGCCAAAAAATCTAGTGTGTAACACATTTCTGCTATTGATGTTTAGCAAGTTAATATTACACCTCAGTTTCCCTGCCCATAACTGGGCATTATGATACCTATCTCCTGCAAATTGCTTTGGGACCTTTGATTATGAAAGTTGAATATGATTATTTGTTATGTTTGCTTCCTATGAATATTCTAGTGAATGTGTTTCGCAAGGGGATGATTAATTTTCAACAAATATCAGAGACCTGAGAAAATGAGTTTGTATCCTCATAAATATAAATGTTCTGTTTCAGATATTGAGGAAATGTGACATATCTGTATTCCATACAAATGAAGCCAGTATTCTCAGATGAGGAACACTGAGCCCACATGTGTTAATCACATGTTCTTTTATGCCAAGAGCTGTCAAGCCTCCCTCATGCCAAGAGGGAATGATTGTAAGGGAGGAATATATATATTTTTAGATGAAATAGGGAAGAGACTTATATACTTAATTTACTAAGTCATGGTTATTCCCACATCTTACAGAGGTAAAACATATTGGATGTTTACTCTTATAAGTTTTAAATACAGAAAGAGTACATTCTGTCAGTTTGCATGGTGTGAGATAGGTTGTGACTATTCTGCACATCACAGATGTCATTTGAGTGTAACTGTAGGGAAAACACTGATTAATAAGTATCTATTCAGGAAGGCTTGAGTTGTCAAGAAATCAGAAATCTGTGATATGCCTTTATAGGTTTTTCCTATATGGTGGTTAGTCACTGTCACTGTGAGGAACATTTGCCCTACAGCTGAGTTACTCTGCATTGCTGTTGTTGTCCCTTTTCTCTCCTTGAAGCTACTTAGGTGGTAGCATCACATAACAATAGAGACCTCTTTTACATAGGTTAAAGATAACAAGTCTTTGTCTACCAATAATAAGACGCAGTTTTTTAACCTCACAATCATATTTGTTATGTAGAATCATAGAAAACTTAGGGTTGGAAAGGGCTTTAAGATCATTCAGTTCAAGCCCCCTCTCCATGGGCAGGGACCCCACACACTAAACCATGTCACCCAAGGCTTTGGCCATCCTGGCCTTGAACGCCGCCAGGGATGGAGCATTCACAACTTCCTTGGGCAACCTGTTCCAGTGCCTCACCAGCCTTACAGTAAAAAACTTCTTCCTTATATCCAATCTAAACTTCCCCTGTTTAGGTTTTAATCTGTTATCCCTTGTTCTGTCACTACAGTCGTAGAATCATAGAATAGTTAGGGTTGGAAAGGACCTTAAGATCATCTAGTTCCAGCCCCCCTGCCATGGGCAGGGACACCTCCAACTAAACCATGTCATATAAACAGCTAGAAAAGCATGGCGCTTAGGCTGCCCTCAGATACTTGAAGGTTGCTCTGCGGTCTCCATGCAGCCTTTTCTTCTCCAGGCTGAACAGCCCCAGCTTCCTCAGCCTATCTTCATACAGGAATTGCTTCAGTCCCCTGATCATCCTCGTGGCCCTCTGGACTTGCTCCAACAATTCCATGTTCTTCTTATGTTGAGGAAACCAAAACTGTACACAGGGCTCCAAGTGGGGTCTCACGAGAGCAGAATAGAGGGGCAGGATCACCTCCTTCTACCTGCTGGTCATGCTCCTTTTGAAGCAGTTCAGGATACTGTTGGCTTTCTGGGCTGCGAGCGCACACTGAAGCTGGCTCATTTTAAGTTTCTCATCAACCAACACCCCCAAAGTCCTTCTCTACAGTATCACTTTGAATCACTTTTCCACCCATCCTGTAGCTGTGCCTGGGATTGCCCCTACCCAGATGTAGGACCTTGCACTTCATACTGAAACTATAGTTTGCTATGTATTTAAACTTTTCTGCTAATTTCTCATCTGTCCTTAGAATTGTGATTGCAAAATGCTGTGTAGTCATATGGACTGAAATGTTGTCTTGTTCTTACTCTTCTTCTTTCTTTGTCAGATGCTGAATTAGGGTTTATTTTTGTCTCTAGCATAATGATGGAGTATATAAATTCATTTCCACTTATTCTCTATTTCCTTGTCAGAATTGCAGGTTGTTTTTCTTCAATCTGTCATTTGTTTGGGTAGGACCTATATTCTGTGCTCCTTGGTCTATAATTCTGCTTCATATTTGTTTCAATGCAACTTCCTCGAGAGATGAAATCTTTCCATATAGTTTCTGTCACTGTGTCATCCACAAATTTTATTAGGAATATTTGTATGGGTTTTCAACTGTGTGATCAAAGCTACTCTTGTTTTGGTGATTCTTTCCTTCCTACTTCCTGCTCTCTCATGATTACACTGTGATCTACCAGCATCTTTTACTAAATAATGACTTGTGTGTGGTTATCTTTTAAAAATATAAATTGATGTAATGTGTTCATAATTTAAAAACCAAACAGAATGATGACAACAGCAACATGCTTGCGTAGCTGTAAGTGAACACAGTCGTGCTGCACTTCAAGGACCAGGAGCTAAGAAGCAAGAGCAAGAGGGACCCATCTCCATTTGTGCAAGAAGAAAAAAGATTATAGTTTTTATTACAACTTTAATGTCTGTGCCCAGGAAACAAGGAGCAAATAGCAAGACTGGTCAAAAATGAGTTGCATCAGCAGATTTGCTTCGGGGCTAGCCCTGAATTTCATTGCTGGTATTACTAAATAACTCTTTTCATCAGCAATGAAAATTCAGGCCTCCCTAGAAAATTCATCCCTCCCTACAGGCAGAAGTAAAGCTGCCTGTAATTCATGTAAGGAACAATTTCCATTTCTAGTGATGGAACACCAGGAGCATCACTGATATATAGGGAACAGGAGCTAAGGAAAGATGTCAGGTAGTCTGAAACAAGGCAGTAATGGAAGAATGTTGATGTGAGATTTCTCTAGGATAACTTAAAAGTTATTTTCTCTTATGGAAGCTTAATTGAATACTTACTATCCTGTGGGCAGGAAACACTTGTTCCAACCCTCTCTAACAACCTGAAGATCAGTTGAGGCATCTCAAAAAATCCTGAACAAAAAGCCTACCAAAGCAAGCCAGCAGGCCAGGGAGCTTTGTAATTTTGTCAACATACTTTTTTTTTTTTTTTCCAGAGGTGTGAATAGATATTGAGTTGTGCCTGAAATGTGTGATTGTTTTGTCACTCCTGCTGCACCAAGGGATTTTTTTTGGCAGTTATCATTAAATAAAAACTGCCAGTGAAAGAGTTGAGCTAGAGGAACTTGTTTGAAAGAATCCTGCACCAGTCAAACTTGCTTAGCCCCTTAATCCCTTACATTGGCAGTTGAATCCAAGAGACATGTAGTAGTGCACAGAGGAGCTATAAACAAACAAAGCTTGAAGCTCTTGGCACCTAAAAAAAAAATTGCCTGTTTCTTGTAAATACATTGCAATAAAACAATAGCTGCTGAGCATTAGCAGAGAAAGAAATCAGCCATGAGAAGCTCCAACTAGGTGGCCTTCCATTTGTAGGGATAAAACACAAGAAAGACCTTGAGATAAATCTTGCATATGAAGTTTTTGAGGACTTACTAATAAAACACACTGGTAGAAAACATGTACAAAACTAAACTAGTTGGTAATTTCAATTGTAGAGTATTTGTCTTAGACACTGAGATGATTAATTCCCTGCAATTTAAATAGCTTTCTTTGCTTACCTGTTGTACCGATGCCTTACCACCCCTTCTTAGCCCATAATCGTGCACATTCTTCAACCTTTTTGCTGCAGAATCTGGGAAAGAATTAAATAAAATTAGATGTCACATTTTTAAAGTACAGTGCTGACAGCAAGGATTCAGTCTCATAATTAAGAACGTTTCACTGTGAATAGTTTGAATATGCTGTTAAAAATGCAATGCAAAGAATTTTTGTGCTGACTTAATGATGCATATACCTAAAACTGAAAAAGCAGCATTTGAAATTGTTACGTTTTAGTGGATTGGAACTCTACTGCATTAAAAACGTTACATTCCTGTAAATACAGACTGAAGCAGAAATAATACATAAATAGATGACAAATAGACAAATAAAATTTCTTTAGTTGGCTTCTTTATATATGCAAAAGGTATTTATTGGTGGGAACAACACTATGTTTCTATAACCATTTTTTTTTTTACTAAGTGTGATGGACAGGGAAGGAATTAGGAGAAAATTATAGGAAGAGATGAAACAAAATTAAGCTGTTTAAAACTGAAT